AACGCGGAGGGGGGGTTACCGGGAGAGGGCGTGGCCGGCGGGAGGGGGCGTGGCCGTATAAAAGCGGGGGCGGCGGCGGCGGGTCCCGGCAGTCGCGGCGGGGCCATGAACGGGCTGAAGGGCTGGTGCGCGGTGCTGGACGTGCGGCCCCACGGCGAGACCCCGGTGAGACGCGACCCTCGGGACCCTCCCCCGCCACGCCCCGCCCCGGGGGGGGCCGCCCCTTCCCTTCTCCCGGTGGGGCCGGGGGTCCCCGGGACGCGCCCTCCGCAGAGCGGGGCTGTGCCCACCCGGTATCGTTGGCCCGTGGGGAGGTTTGGGGGGGTTTGGGGGGGAACGGCAGCCCCTCTGCACCCCGGGGGGGTCGGGGGGCCGTGGTTTAGGTCCCCCCTGGAGTCCCCGGGGACCTTGGCCGAGCCCGGGAGTGGGACGAGCCCCCCCTGGGGTGGGCGAGGACGGCGGAGCCCCCCAAGGTGTCACCATTGGGGTCCCCCCATCGCGTTCCTGGGCATCCCGCTCCCAACGCAATCATAACCCCCCCCAATAATGTGATTTTTTTTGGGGGGTGGGGGTGGGCAAGGCACCCCTCGAGCGGCGGCGGGCGCTCCGTTTCGGCGCTTCCCTCCCTCCCTCGGCGGGGGCCTCGTGGTTTGTTTCTTTTTTTCCTCTTTTCCTCTTCCTCTTATCCCTTGGGTTTTTTTCCCCATCGCCGCCGGGACGGGCCCTGGGTGGGGCTGGCGGCACCCCAAAACCGGCCCTGCGCCGGCGCGGCGCCCCGCTTTCCCCGCCGAAGGGGTGGCGGCGGCTCTGGGCCCATCCAGCCTTTTCTCACCCAGATTTCGGGGACCGGAGGGTTCCCCCCCCCACCCCACGAAGTGCCGGTGGCGGGAGAAGAGCCGTCCCGGTGCTCGGTCGCCTTCCCCGGTGGCGGCGGCCGTCGGGCTCCCGTCCCGAGCGCTGTGGGGTGACTCAGCTCTGAGTCTCCCCAGGAGAGCCCTAATTCCCCGCAGCTTTCCCGGCCTTATAAGGAGCGATTGCAGAGTTGGGGCTCGTTTGGCTAATGGCTTATTAGGGTGATAAGCGCCTCTGTAACGCCGACCGGCTCCAAACGTCTCCGAAAGGCCGGAGCCGGGCGCTGCTGATCCCGGGAGATTCCCCTCTGGGTCAGGTCAGGCCTGTTCTTCTTTAACAGCCGGGACAGACGGACGGACGGACGGAGCGCCCTCCCCGCCGTTGCAAAAAGCCGGCGGCGCCGGTCGGTGCCGCTTCTCTTCCTCCCGGGATTTGTCCAGTTCCCCCTTCCCCGGGAGCCGAGGCGGGGTCTCTCCCTCCGGCCGGGCTTTTCCCAAATGGGGGGGTTTTTTGGGGGATGGAGGGGGCTGGATGATGAAAAATAGACCAAAAGGTTTAAAACGCCCGTCCCCCAGCCGGTAACGCCCGCCACCGTTGCCGGGGGACCCTCGGTTGGGGCCAAAGGGCCGCCGGGATTTTGGGAATGCTTCCCCGAGGGAGCCTTCCTCCGTCCTGCCCAAAATCCCCCGGGGGCTGCGGCCGTCGCTGGACAGGGCCGAGCTCTCCCCACCGTTTAAAACGCCCGTCCCCCAGCCGGTAACGCCCGCCACCGTTGCCGGGGGACCCTCGGTTGGGGCCAAAGGGCCGCCGGGATTTTGGGAATGCTTCCCCGAGGGAGCCTTCCTCCGTCCTGCCCAAAATCCCCCGGGGGCTGCGGCCGTCGCTGGACGGGGCCGAGCTCTCCCCACCGCGGGGAATGCCCCAAAGAGGGGGTAAAAGCCCCAAAGAGGGGGTAAATGCCCCAAAGAGGGGGTGCCGGGCTGGGGTCGCTCCTGGGGGTCCCCGCTTGGGGCCTTAAGGAACCCTTTTCCACGGGAGGTGGGTTTTTTCCCGAGCAGGAGCAGGGTGAGAGATGCTCCATCCCCTTCCCAGCGCCGGCCACACCTCAAATCCCTTCTGTCTTCCCCAAAAAATAACGGAGGGGGCCCCGAACCCCCGGCCCCCTCCTCTCTGGGGCCGTGAGCAGGCGGCGAGTGCCGGGGGAGCGGGTTTAGCTCCAGTCGGGCGGTGAAGGAGTGGGGTACGGGGGGGTCCCCGGGGCTCCCATCCTCCAAATTTGGCACCTTGGGGGGGTTTGGGGGGAGGACGGTGTGTGCCGGCCGCGGCGTCCCTCTGGGTTGCCTCGGCTCCCCCTGCCCTGCACCCAAAAAGCTGCTTTTCTGCCCCAGTGGTCCAGGGAGCCTGGGCTCGAGTGTCCATCCTGTGTCTTGCCCCCCACCCAGCTCCAGGGAGGAGGAGGAGGATGGAGACAGTGGAGCCTTCCCCATTTGCCCAGATGGTTGCCCACCGAGGTTTGGTGGCCCCAACCTCTTTGCTTGGTGCCACCAGCCCTCAGCGTGGGCTCGGTGGCGGCTTGATCCAGGAGCAGGGGGTGGGTTTTTTGGGGGGAGGGGGGGTGTTTGCTGGGCCGGAGGGTGCCCACGTGCCGGCTGGGGGTAAGTTTTGGGTGCGGGGATGGAAACGGGCTGGTCTTTGTTCCTTTATCGCCCCGGATCTTCCCCGGGCGAGCGCTCGCCTTGGCAGCATCCCCAGCCCGGGAGGGGGACGGGGGAGGCGACATCCCGGTGCTCGTAAATAAACAAAGTGGGGAACGGGGACACGGGGAGGGGGGGGACACACCGACGAGCCACCGGGACCCTGTCCCGCCATCACCGGCCTCTCCGTGCCCTTATCCCCGGCGTCTCCCGGTGTCCCGGCTGCTTTGGGAAGGCGATGGGTGATGTTTTCCGTGTGGGCGCTGCCGGTTTTCCATCTTCCCAACCTCCCCCCCCCGGTCCCGGTGCTGCTTTTGTGCTTTTCTCCCCAAACTTCCCAACTTTTTGGGTTTCGTCGAGAAAAAACACCCCCCCCGGTGTGAAACTGCAGCGGAGCCGTCGGTTAAATCCGGGCGCCGGTGAAGCTCCTCCGGGATAATCGTCGTCCCGAGGGGAGCGGGGGGGGCCCGGCCCCCGTGTTTGGGGATCCGTAGGAGGTTCCCCGGGCTTGGCGCGAGCAGCGTGCACCAAATATTTTGGAAACAAGCAGATGGCTTGTCGAGACTTGGGCGGGCGAGGGAAGAGCCGGGGGAAGGCAGGAATACCTTTTGGAAAAAGGAGGAGGAGGAGGAGGAGGAGGAAGGTGACGTGGCCGAGGTGTGCCGAGGGGGCGGGCACCTCCCCCGGTTCCGCGGTGCTGCCGCCCCAGAGCCCGGTCGTCACCGACCACCTCCCGTTTTTTGGGGTTTTGGGGTCACGTTTAAGAGAAGGA